TTCAAGTGGAGATTTCTCATCTCTGGAGATCTGGATGTGGTTCCGGTTTCTACCTATAGTTTTATGTATTACAAAGGCTCCACAGGAAGCCTCGTTCACTGGGTGTGCTGTAGCTCCATTTTAGGTATTCCAATCAGTCATAGGCAGAAGATGGACTTACAAGCCTTCCGGTGTGATGTTTCTGACTATTCCTTTCTCTCCCTCTCCAGTATCTACTCTATATTATAATGCTTCCAAAGTTCCTGTGGTGTGTTTCGCGGTGTCTCTGTGGCCCTCTCTGAGGCCCCGATTTCATCCCGCCGCTTGAACTCTAAACTGCTTATCTTGAGGTTCAAACTGACCTTGCAGTCCAGCATATTAGCCCATAGCGCCACAACCAGGAGACCTGCCATTAATTGGAAGACCTTGAAAAACATCTTCCAGTGTATATGCTTTATTTTCAGAAATAAATATTTTTGTAATCCATGTTTAAGACTTACTAGTTGTTAGAATTTTAATTTTATTTTGACAAAGCAAAATAAAATTAAAATTTTGAACATTTTTTATGCACTATTTATTAATTATACTATTTATTATTATACTATTATTAAATATACTATTTATATACTATTGTTGTTACTTTGTTGTTGTTAGACAAATCTGCATCAGAAGACCTTTTTAAAGTGTTAAAAAGCAAAGATGTCAATTTAGGACTATGATGTGTATGACCCAAGCCATGGTATTTTCAGTCACCTCATATGCATGTGAAAGTTGGACAGTGAATAAGGAAAACCTTAGAAGAATTGATGTATTTGAGTTATGAGGCTGATAAAGAATATTGAAAGTACCATGGACTGCCAGAACAAACAAATCTGACTTGAAGGAGTAACCTTTAGCACTGTCAATTAGTTATTAGTTATTCCTACCATTCTTGCTCTATAAGATAAGCATTGGACTGTGAACCACAAGATCAGCAGTTCAAGCCTAACAGCTGCTCTGTGAGAGAAAGATGAGCCTTTCTGGCCCTGAAAAAATGTGTAGTTTTGGAAATAATAGCTGACTGAATGGTATTTAAAAACAATAAAACAACAGCAATTCTTAGAGTTCATTTAAATAATATTTTAAATGTTCTTATAAAAGTTTATTGATTTTGATTCATATTGAATTATTGCAATCTACATATTTCCATTGAAATAGTTTCATCACCAAACATCTCCTCTCCCGTTTTATAACGTAGATCATTTATTATATTATTTGAGTATGACCATGATGGTGGTGGTGGTGGTGTGCCATGGAGTAGGTTCCGACTCTAATGACCCTGCGTAGGGTTTCTGAGCCTGTTAATCTTTATGGGAACAGAAACCCTCACCTTTCTCCCATAGAACGTAGTTTTGAACTGCTGACCTTGAGGTTAGCAGCCTGACTTGTAACCACTATGCTACCAGAGCTCCTTGAATATATCCATGCTGATAGTCAAACTATTTAGCAATTGTTTTACTTTAGTCACAGACCAAACAAGATGTGTGCTGGAGACTCCTTGCTGTATAAGCATTACTCCATTGGGTACGGGTACATGGGATTCTCTTTAGGCCTTTGTCAAGATAGTGGCAGAGAACTCTTTAGGGTCTCATGACAGCAGCTATGCATGCAGCAGAATGGAAGTACTTTTATATTTTATTAATATGACATGCCAGTGCTTATCCATAAATGAGCTGTGGGCTAAACTCACTAGGCAGAGATTCAGTCAGATGACCACTGTGAGTAGTCTCTAGACTAGATAATCTAATATTTATGTTCTCTTTATGAGAAATCTTCAAAAAATTCTTGGAAAAAAACAGAAGATAATGGAATTTTTTATGAATTTTATGAAGCCCCCTCATATAAAGTGAATTGTTCATATATGGCAAATGTTTGACTCTTCACCATGCCCAAGTCTTAACATAACATAATGTAATTTACCTAGTCATATCATCAGGCACATTTGCACTGTCTTAATATCCAAAGAGGAGTCTTGGTGGTACAGTAGGTAAGGGCTAATAAATGTCCATGGTTTGAATCTATCAGCCAGTCAACAGAAGAGCGATGCAACTGTCTGCTTCCATAAAGATTACAACCTTGGAAACCATAAGGGGCAGCTAAGCAACTCATAGGTTTGCTGTGAGTTGGAATCAATTTCATGGTTATGGGTCTGGGCTTTTTGCTTTTTTTTTTGAGGGGACGGATTTAATACCTGAGCTCTGGTAGCATAGTGGCTACAAATCGGACTGTGAACCGCAATGTCAGCAGTTCGAAACTACCAGCTCTTCCTTGGGAGAAAGCTCTGCTCCCGTAAAGATTTACAGCCTTGGAAACCCTGTGAAGGGTCGCTATGAGATGGAACCGACTCCATGGTACATAACAACCACAACTTTCTATTACTCTGCCTCTTACTATCCTCACCTGTATTACTTATTTTTTTCATGCCACAATAGTTC